TATATATATATATACTTAAGAATGTTGTTAGATTGAGGATTAGCCCCAAAATATATTATTAATATGTGTTATCAGTCTACTACTAGCAAATGCTACAGTACCAAATGTCACAACTATTTGCGTCACAATCAAAGATAATGCCGCAAATAAAAACCTCGGGCAAAAGATCTTCCATACCATCAGATGTCTACGGAAATGAGTTACCCAGATAAATGAGCTCAAGCATAATATGGAATGATATGCCAGGAGAATTCCGCTATTAGAGACAATTCTACCTAATAAAGTCTGGGGTTTTAAAACATCCGGTGGTTGATTCCATAGTGTCAATAGTGCGATTGAGAGTGCTACTAATATATGAGGTCCAAATGTGTTTAGTAATATGGCAATATGAGTAAGTGGGAAAGTGATTGTATCAGATAGTATAAAACCGACATCCCATTGGACTGAGGGTATCGTAGCTTGGTGACCTGTAGAGAAAAATTGTTGATAAGATAACAAACCTAATATGATCGGACCAATAATATTCTCCTTTAATTTCAATAAGTCAATGATCTCCAATATCGATAACATTTGGTTACACATTAGGAAAATTGAAACTTGAGCCAATGGTTTATTATATAACATTATAGCCATTAAAGTGTTGATGACTAGCAGGAAATATTCAGATCCATATATGTTAGTATATCCTAATATTGTAGCTTGGTGTGACTTAACATCAGTATTATGAACATTCAATTTAATACACAATGGACCCATAAGCCAACCTGCATTCACGGCGATCAATGTGAACCCTGCAATGATCCTTGCAATTGTAAACTTGATAATTGTAAAATCGTAGTCTAAATCACTTACAGTATTTTCAGCAGCTGTCAATCCCCAGTATATAAAATTGATAAATAATATACCTTTAAGGAAAATATCTATCCAGATTGGTGCCGCAGCTTGGTAGGATGACGTAAGATTGTAATAACCTTTAATGCAAGCAGGAATTAAAAACACAATCAAAAAACAAAGAATCATGCACCAATTTGAGTAGTTTGTAAGATTAGTAAAAGTTGGGGTACAATATTCACCTTGTTCACCACGACAAATTGTAATCATAGATGCTAGTCTGGTACAAAGGAGTAAGACCAGGGAATGATAACCGCCTAACAATCTAGCAAACCTGGATAGAGGTAAGGAGTTTGAGTTGGCAATCGATGAACTAACCCCAGATGCTGTACCTTCGTTTTCACTTATCTTGGCAGTGAGTAATGCTGTGGTTGACTGTCTTTTTGGTAAAAACACAAATTCATAAAACGTAAGCATACCAAATGTTGTCAAGAGATAAGAAACAATTTTATCCTCCCAAATTGTAAAAGAATTCGAGGTGAACAATAATGCATGTATTAATACGAGTAAAGTACCGATGCAAGTCCAATAATCAGCGATCAAATCTTGGAAAAATCTGATAAAAATCCAACCTAGACTATAACGATCAAATATGGGAATACAACAACCTAGTATGATACCAATGGCTGCACCAAAGAGGGTTGACCAAAGTATACTGTTCAAAAATGGTGGTTGGTGGTATACATAATATATACCATGGAAACATGCGGTTGATACCAGAGTCATCATAATAATCCAAGGTGTAAATTCAGGAACCATTTGATCTATTACTATGGAAGGTATAACTTCTGCCACAGATAATAATAACACGGTAGAAATTGTCATTAGTATTACCCCGGTAGTGATACTGTGATAATCAAATCTTGCCCATAGATTTTTACATATTTCCAGGAATTTGGTTTGGTACTTTTGAGCTAACCTGAAATCACCAGATAAGTAGGCCTTGTTCAAAATATGTTCTGTTGTATGCCCTTTACTTCCATCAAATTCAAAGCCATCTTCTAGGTCGATACCCATTTTATCCTTGTAAGTATCTAATTGCTCTAGAACGGCTCTCATCATTGAACGCTGAGCCCTGTCAGAATTAAATATTTCCTCAATTGGCCAACCTAAACTATTAAATGGTATTGGAGTACCAAGTAAATACGACAATGTAGGTACAATATCAACTTGGTTTACTTGTCTATATTTCTTACCCATGTTGGAAACAGAGTAATTATCAATGTTGATAGAATTATTAAATGCGTTGGGTCTTTTAGAGTAAAGGAACAACGTACTTTCTAATTCGTCGATAGAATCACCACCATGATTACCGGTATGGTCCATTCCATGGTCACCCATAACAACTAAAAGCGTATCGTCATCCAGAGATGAAATGATTTCATTGATAAAGGAAGTGACTTGAATTTGTTTATCTTTCATAGTAAAATGATTTGGACCATATTTGTGTCCAACATGATCAACACCCAACATATGGCCTATCAGAACATCCCAATTGTGCGATTTCTCATTTATGTTAATTAGATTCTGGCGAAAGAAATTGATAACACCATTATCTACAGTATCTAAATCCCAAACATTTAATGATTCAAATGGTTCACTATTGTTGGACAAAAATGGGTGGAAAAGGGCATCCCATGTATCGTCTCCCACAAAAAGTACCTCTTTGCCGTTCTCATAAAATTGCTTAATGAGGTTATCTTCTTCTATAACGTTACCATTGAAATTTGATCCAGCATCTATAAACGTTGGTAATGAACCAGTCGTCAACCCCTTTAATCTTTGTAAGGTAGTTGTTGGTGGGTCTGCGATAAATTTTAATAAAATTGAAGAATCACTAGAGGTTCCACTATTACTTTTGACAAAATGATCATAAAGAACAGGGAAATTATTGTGATAATATTGGTTGGCAATATCAGGTTCTACAGGAATTACAAAATCAAATCGCAATGCATCGACTATTAATACCACAGCTTTGTCAAATTGTGCTTCGTATGGTGTGTACGTATCATTAAAAGGTGGGCTTAGGTCATTTAGAACATGTCGTGTCAATAAAAATCCCCTAGTAAAAAATGCAATTGCTATAAACTGCAAAGCAGCAATAGAAGTCAATAATACCACATAATGGAAATGTGACTTTTTAAACTTTAAAATCCTTGATTTGTAAATCCTTCTTTCGTCGGATGATGTGCTGAGTATTTCACTTTTTATCCTCCTCTCATCCATCTTTCCCTAAATTATAAATCTGTTTATCGATACTTTTCAATAAGGAACAGATGAATATATGCTCTACAGATATCAGAAAAAATTGAACGTTATTTGATTAGGTTAAAGTAAATAAATCCATTAAGTAGTATAAACTGTCTAATTACTTCATTACTCGATTTACATTCAAGTTAAGTTATAATAAGCCAAAGGTTCTCTATTATTATTTTATTATTTCGCGGTTTACTTTTTTGGCGAGTGGCGGGAGATGGCCCTGGCTGTCTACTAGCGATTTATTTTACAAACTACGTACAAAACAGTCTATCGGTATTGTGATACCTGTGAGACACGGCATCAATAGTTAGAATATATATTATTAGTCTAGTGTCAAGTATATTTACTCAGAGCTTTCATTGCTTTTGTAGAATGTTGATAATAATCTACCTACGATATAAAATTGGTTTACCAATGACGCACCTCCACTAGAAATTTATCTAAAGCCTGAAACAATTTCTTTATCTCGTGTCTTGATACATTTTCCTTCAGCATCACTAACTCTAAAGGCGTTTTACCATTAAAATATTTTAGCATTTTCTTGAATAATATCTGTATGTCAGGAGACTGTTCTGATACACATTTATACAGCCATCTCTTCTCTAGTGCTGTTGCACGCTCGGGTTCCAAAATTATTGTAAAATCTTGTTGTATTTCAGGATCATCGAACTCGAAGTGTAGAACGTCATCATTACTGACATTGTTGGAGTTCATGATGGTATTGTTTGTTGAATTCGGTATTAGGTTGTCCACTCCGACTGTTTCAAGCTTATTCTTCCTTCTGTTTGAATCAATTGCATCGGTTTTTGTATTTATATCATTAGCTAAAGAATTCAGCGAGAGATCTTGCATATTTCTCTCACCTTTCATTTTTTTTTTATCTTTATTTTTAACTCTAAATCCTTCTCTTTCAAGATCTTCCTCTACATGCATTTTAACTTTCTTATCAACTCTAATATAGACAAAAGTCAGTAACTGATAGACATATCCATGCTTTATTAGCCAGCTTAATGCGCCTAAGTAGATACCCTTATGTTCTTTACTTGGAATAAGGGATCCAAAGGGCCTTATTCCAATATGTGTCTCGTTATGTCCCATTGTTTTACTCAGGTTTGATGCCTTTGGATTCTTGGTTGTTTCAAGTATATCTGGCTCTGATAATTTACCCAAAAAATAGCTTAGAGAAGGTAAAGATGGAAATTTGTCTTTAAATATCTTAGACTCTTCAAGATAAGTAGCTGTTAAAGTTAACAGTGGTGATACAGCATATTTATATTTTGAACTAATTGGTATAATAATTCGCGCATGCCTCCAGTATATAAGATGTAAAGCAAAAGATCTCAGAATATCATAAGTAATATTACTTCCTTCAATTTGCAGAATATCGGTTATAATGTAATGATAGTATCGCAAGGGAACTGTAGGTTGAATTTGCTTAATTAGCTGCTTCAGAATAATTGTGTTAACGTCACCTACATTATTATCTTGTAAATCTGAATTGTTTAATGTCATCGACTCTAAATTTTTCAGTATTATCATTGGATCGTCTAACAGTAATAGTGTATAATCTAGAATATCGTCGTCGTCGTCAGCCCCATCATCTTGTAGCAAATACCTCACGTCAGAACTGTTTCTTGGAGCGTTATCAGTATTTGAATATGTACCTCCTAAATTAGATGTTTTGAAGTCGTTAACTTTAGAATTGTATGCCATTGAAGCTCTTTCGATGAATTTTCTATTCACAATTGAGGTGAGATAAGAATGTGGTAATATTTCAACCAAGCGATTGCTTGGTAAGGTAGAAAATTCATTTTGAATAGGAATTTGTAAGGAGATCATCTTGTCGCCAATTTTAATAGAGGCGATTTCATTTTGGTGTAGTTGATCAACACATTTTGTTAACGCTCTCGCTAAGGATGATTTACTTAATATTCTCTCATACAGATATTTACCTTTCTCCCAGGGGGTCTTAAGTTCCTGATATGTCTCTGACTGTTTCGTTACATATTCACGTTCTTTTAGAATAATACTACACTCATTTGACACAAATTGGGTCTTAGATTGAATATAACGGAGAAGTAACGATAATTTTGCCACTACATGCTGATACATATCATCTACTCTATTGTTGTATTCAATCAAAGGAGGATTTAAAATGAAACATACGTGGAACATATTCATAGATTTACTCAAGTCATTAATATCATCTTCTGGTTCAGTTAGGGTTGTATTATTTGCATTGTTGTCTTCAGTTAATTCTGATTGTTTTTGCTGTATACCAGAAGATTCTCCACTTTTAGATCCCGATGAATGTATTGAACTTGTCGTTAAAGATTTCTTTCTTTTCGAGTGGCTTATACTTGCTGATTTTCTAGATGTATGTTTTCTATGTTTAGATTTTCTCCACTTCCCATTTGAATCATTATGAATAGGGAACCCAAGAAAACAAAATTCATCAATTGTAAACTCGAATCGTGTGTTACATAAATCTCTGTCGGGTGTACAAAATTCTGCAACGAATTCAGAATTAAATCCAAATATCTTATCAATATCCTGATAATTTTCCTTTGAAAAGAAAAGTTCATTCATTTGCACATCCATCACTTCAGGCACCGCCTCACTTCCTGTCTTGAACATATCTAATAGTTGTTCTGTACTCATTCGTTCATGGAATGATGTCGATGATGTTGTTTCATTAGATCTAGATGAAAAGGATTCGTCAGCCTCATCAGTAGATAATTCAGAATCACTCAGTCCCGACGACCAACTGGATGAACTTGAAGAGGAAGTGTCTGTTTCGTCATGTGTTCTTTGTAATTTTAATTCCTCATCTCTATGTTTATTACTTGTTTTGTTAACCTTAAAATTATTTGATACAGAAGATGCGCATGCTACTGATGTTGGTGGATACGAATAGACCACTTGTTGACCAGAATGTGTCGATATAGTCAATTGTATGCCTAACAGGTAAGAGTTGGGCAAATATTCATTCATTGGTCATGTATTCGGTCAATAATTATACTTTGTTCTCTGAAAAAAGTTATCAGTTTACTTATCAGATCCCTCAAGAGTTGTTGTTATAAATTTGTTACTTCTAAAGTATATGTGTGCGTTTTCCGATGCATTATGATTCACCGATGAAAACAGTATATAATAAATATATCTATAAAGCCTATAAAATTAAAAGAGACAGAAACATGATTTCGTATACGTAATAGATTCTATATGTTAAGAGTTACTATATAATAAGGATATATATGTATGTGGGGATTTTTATTTATTATTTCATTTGAATTTTAGGAAAGTTCCTGTTAATGATGCAATTAATCAACTTCTTCGACAGTTGGACCTTCAGCTTCTGGAGCTGGTGGAGCACCGGCACCTGGAGCACCTGGCATACCACCTGGGGCACCACCTTGTTGGTACAACTTAGTCATGATTGGGTTAGCAATTTCTTGCAATTCCTTTAGTTGATCGTCGAATTCTTCCTTGGTAGCGGTAGTGTTAGCGTCTAACCAAGCAATGACTTCGTCAGCCTTCTTGTTAATGGTTTCCTTGTCAGCTTCTTCTAGTTTGTCACCAGATTCAGAAGTAGTGTTCTTCAAAGAGTAAGCAATGGATTCCAATTGGTTCTTGGAGGCAATTCTTTCAGATTCCTTTTCATCTTCTTCCTTGAACTTTTCAGCTTCAGAAACCATTCTTTCAATATCTTCCTTAGATAATCTACCCTTGTCATTGGTGATGGTAATCTTGTTGGACTTACCAGTACCCTTTTCAACAGCGGAAACATTTAAGATACCGTTAGAATCAACATCGAAGGTAACTTCAATTTGTGGGACACCTCTTGGAGCTGGTGGAATACCAGATAATTCAAACTTACCTAGAATGTTGTTATCCTTCGTTCTAGCTCTTTCACCTTCAAAGACTTGAATCAAAACACCTGGTTGGTTATCAGCGTAAGTGGAGAAAGTTTCAGACTTCTTGGTTGGAATAGTAGAGTTTCTTGGAATCAACTTGGTCATAACACCACCAGCGGTTTCAATACCTAGAGATAATGGAGCAACATCTAACAACAATAGATCTTGAGTCTTAGAAGATTGGTCACCAGTTAAGATAGCGGCTTGGACAGCAGCACCGTAAGCAACAGCTTCATCTGGGTTAATAGATCTGTTTGGTTCCTTACCGTTGAAGAAATCAGTGACAAGCTTTTGAACCTTTGGAATTCTGGTAGAACCACCAACTAGAACAATTTCATCAACTTGAGATTTGTCTAATTTAGAGTCTCTTAGAACCTTTTCGACTGGGTCTAGAGTTTGTCTGAATTGATCAGCACATAATTCTTCGAATCTAGCTCTAGTAATGGAAGTGTAGAAATCAATACCTTCAAATAGAGAGTCGATTTCAACAGAAGTTTGAGCAGAAGAAGATAGAGTTCTCTTAGCTCTTTCACAAGCAGTTCTTAATCTTCTTAGAGCTCTTTGGTTAGTAGTAATATCCTTCTTGTTCTTTCTCTTGAATTCTTGAACGAAATGGTTAACTAATCTGTTATCGAAATCTTCACCACCTAAATGAGTGTCACCAGCAGTAGCTTTAACTTCGAAGATACCATCTTCAATAGATAATAGAGAGACATCGAAAGTACCACCACCTAAATCGAAAATTAGGACATGTTCTTCCTTACCCTTCTTATCTAGACCATAAGCAATGGCAGCGGCAGTTGGTTCGTTAATAATTCTTAGAACGTTTAGACCAGCAATAGTACCAGCATCCTTAGTAGCTTGTCTTTGAGAATCGTTGAAGTAAGCTGGAACGGTAACAACAGCTTCCTTAACATCACAACCTAGATAACTTTCAGCAGTTTCCTTCATCTTACCTAGAACCATAGAAGAGATTTGTTCTGGAGTGAATTGTTTAGTTTCACCTTTGAATTCAACTTGAATTTGTGGTTTACCTTCGACATCAACCAACTTGAATGGGAAATGCTTCATATCACCTTGAACTTCTGGGTCACTGAAGTTTCTACCAATCAAACGCTTAGCATCGAAAACAGTGTTAGATGGGTTCATAGCAGCTTGATTCTTAGCAGCATCACCGATCAATCTTTCAGTGTCAGTGAAACCGACGAAAGATGGAGTGGTTCTGTTACCTTGATCGTTAGCGATAATTTCGACACGATCATTGGAGAAATGAGCAACACAGGAGTAAGTAGTACCTAAATCAATACCAACAGCTTTAGACATTGTGTTTGGATTGAATATTTCTATAGATGGTTTTTTTTATTATAGAGAAAATAATTAAAAAAAAGATAATTAAATAATAAATTAGAAAAAAAACTATTGGTAAGAAAGAATTAAAAGTTAATTGAGTTTACCAATTGAAATAAATTAACAAACCTTCCCACTTTATATATCCTGGAATTGAAAAAAAAAATTATTATTAATATTAATGGAATTATCTAATTATTAAAGGCTTAATTGCATTTTTCACTCACTGTCGTCGAAGTATTACTCAAATTGTTACCGACAAAATGAATATATGGGGGGAGAAAGAAAGAAAAAGAAAAAAAAACGACCATTTCGAGAGCGAGATAGAACATTCTAGAAAAAAGGGAATTTTCAACGTTCAAAATGACGAACTTTCTTTGCACGACCCTTTCTTAATTAATTAATTATTTAATTATATTTTTTTCTCATCAATTCCCTCTCGGATATTAATATTTTCTAATTGAAACAAAGAGTGAAGAGAGACAAAATAAATTGTGTATGTGTTCGAGAGAAAGAGAGAGTGAGACATTATTTGGGGTTGAAGAAAAAAGGGGGGGAGAGCGAGTGAGGGAGGCAGGGAGGCGTTTTGTTAATAATAAAGAGGATAAAATTCTAAGTACGTAAATAAATTTGTTTTTACAGTCAAGAAACTAATATGGTGTAGTGGCGGCTGAGTTCCTTAAACAGTTACACACAAAACAGGGTCTAAAATAACGTCAATTAGATTCAATTTTTAGCTAATGGTAACTCAATTTCGCCACCCATGTGAGCATTAATAATATTGTAGTTTTTTCATAAGAAGGTTATAGAATTTATTGAAGTTTCCATTGTTTAATGCAAGTAAAACCGTATTTGTTTTTCTTGTAAATCTATATGTATGTAGATCATATCATTAATATATATTTCTGCCACTAAGCATTTACTTCTTTTACATATTTTAGTTTCAAATTACGTAACTTGTGAGCAGAATTTAGTCTTTTTCTAGCATCTTCTAAAATGTTTTTAATTTTCATATCTTATACAAAAGAAAGTTGTGTGACATATTTTTTATAACATCCGAGCAAAATGGCATTGGTTACAATTTTTAACGATGATGAACCAGATATCACTGTTATTCGAAATATATACACCAACTTTCTCTTTTTTGCAAAATATATACAGATAAATGTTATAGTTAAATGTTATTGGGATATCGTATTGTACGAATCACAAGATAATATTCTCTATTATGTATAAAAAGTAAGACGCGAATAATAAAGTATTTTTCTGTCTATTTTGATTTCGACAAAGCGAGAGAAAATTCAAATCTTTATTATGGATATTGTAACGAGTCGTCGAGACAGACAACGCGAGAGAGAAAGTGGGAGAGAGAGAGTAGTTTGTACATAGAAAGAACAAAACAAAACAAAAAAAAGAAGGACAAAAAGTCGAAAGAAAAACTTGTTAGTGGAAAAGTATTGAAATCAAAGAAAAAAATAAAAATAAAAATAAATTTGTTACCTCAGTTAATATTATTTTATTAATGTTTGTTTGTTTTACATTTCGATCTTGTAAACAATTACATTTATTTTTATAAATTAATACTATAGTATAGTTCTTATTATTAACTTTCAGATCTTTTTTACAATAGTTTATTTGATCTCTTCATTTTGTTTATTGATTCATTATATTTTATAGTTAAAAATTTTAAATATTTTGAGATAAATCAAATAAAGGATACTGTGTTTTTTTTGCTTTAAGTTCAACTCAGAGAAAACAAAAACTAATCAAAGAAAATGACTTCACAAGCCTCCAACGCATCAATTAAGAAAGAAGAAGTTAATGGTGTTCCATTTCCACCAATTCCAAAGACCTCTTCAACTATGGAATCTGATGGAATTGAAAATCAAACTGGTGACATTATTGAACCACCACAAATTAAATCTGAGCAAGAAGATGAATTACCAACAACACAAGCTTTAGATTTAGATATATCTAATCAACTGGGTTCGATGAAATTAAACGAAGGACAAATTTTACCAGATCAACCAGATATTAAGATTATTAATCGTCAAATTAATGGTTATGTTGGATTTGCTAATTTACCAAAACAGTGGCATAGAAAATCTATTAAGAACGGTTTTACACTAAATTTATTATGTGTTGGTAAAGGAGGTCTCGGTAAGACCACTTTAATTAATTCTTTATTTAATGAAAATTTGGATATTAAAGATAATAATAATATAATACCAGAAAGACCATTAGATCTTGCTAATGAAGATGAAAATGGTAATGAAGCTGATGAAGGTTTACATTCAAATGTTAGGATTGAAACTATCACTAGGACAATTGAAGAAAATGGTGTAAGATTAAAATTAACTGTTGTTGATGCACCAGGGTTTGGTGATGCTATTGATAATACTAATGCTTGGGAACCAATCATTAAAGAAATTAATTCAAGATATGATCAATATTTAGATTCTGAAAACAAAATTAACAGAAATTTAAATGATGATAACAGAATTCATGCTTGTTTATATTTTATCGAACCAACTGCACATTGGTTAAAACCAATTGATTTAGAATTTTGTTCGGTAATTCATGAAAAATGTAATTTAATCCCAGTTATTGCTAAATCAGATATTTTAACAGATGATGAGATTATTACATTTAAGGAAAGAATTAATAAACAATTTGCTGAAAAAAATATTCAAACTTTTAAACCACCAATTTATAAATTAGATGATAAAGAAACCATTGATGTTGCTAATAAATTATATGAAAGTTTACCTTATGCTGTTGTAGGTTCTAATGATTTTGTTACTGATCCAACTAATCCAGAGAAAACTGTAAGAGGTCGTGAATATCCATGGGGTATTATTGAAGTTGAAAATGAATCTCAATCCGATTTCATGTTATTGCGTGATTTATTAATTAAACAATATTTGGAAGAATTACATGAAAGAACTAATAACGTTTTATATGAAAATTATAGATCAGAGAAATTAATTAATTTAGGTATTAAACAAGATAATTCTGTATTCAAAGAATTTGATCCAAATATGAGACAAGAGGAAGAAAAGAAATTGCATGAAGCTAAATTGGCTAAATTGGAAGCAGAAATGAAGAATGTTTTCCAATTAAAGGTATCAGAAAAGGAGAAAAAATTACAAAAATCAGAAACTGAATTATTTGCAAGACATAAAGAGATGAAGGATAAACTAACGAAGCAATTGAAGGCTCTAGAAGAAAAGAAACATCAACTTGAAATGTCTATACAGAGTCAAGCACAATCTTCACCTGCTCAACCAAAGAAGAAAGGTTTCCTAAGGTGAAGCTATTAATTCCCAATCTCTCCTACCCCCCCCCCTTACACATTAAAGTAAAAAAAAAACGAAACAAAATAAAAAATAACTAACGTCTATTACATAAAGATATACTGATATATGCTAATCTAATACGCTATTCTCTTAAAAATCTTCAATAATTTATTACCGAAATACGGTATACTTAAACTTTTAAGCCACTATATAAATGGCCAGAATTCATCGCGAATTAACCAGAATAAGAAAAGAAACTCGCGACGCGTAAAGAGTAGTTTACAAAGAACGGTAAAAAAATCGATGTCTGCCATATTTGAGGTATAATTTCAAAGAGACTCTGAAACAAAAAGATACATAATTGTCTATAAACAAGATATATAAAACTTCAATTAGCAAATCAAGGAACTATTATACTTAATTTAAAAACTACTCATTATAAATTCATCAAAGTACTAAAGCAAATAACAAATCCGGCGTAAATAACAAATAAAATAAAATAAAAATGCCTACTCATGATGCCAAATACAGAGATGAGATAAGTAAATACTATTCAAAATTGAGTAGTTTCACGCGAATTACAGGTCATGATCAGTTAGTGGAGGTTAAAAAGACTAAGCGTGCAGAAAAGGCAAGATCAAAGTTATCAAGCTTATCAACCAGACAATTTTATGAATTGAATGTTGACGTTAATGATGAACTTGATAGGCGTATTAATGAAACAGGTACTGAAACTATTACATTGAAGGATGGAGAAAAAGAGGCTGTCGAAAAACGTAATAATGCCAGAAGGAAGTTGGCAGCATTGAGTGAAGTTAGATTTGATGAGTTAGTCAACGATTTAATTTCTGAAATTGAATTAAGAGGGATGGATAAAATTGTGAAAACTGAAGAAGTAGAGCAAAAGGAAACGGAAGGTACTTTAGTTTCCAGTTTCAATATGTCAGACTTGGGTTCTATTTCACCTCAGAAAGTTAATGATAGAGAAGAGAGTACTGAAGATAGTAAGGTAGATGAGGAAGTAGAGGATATTTCACTAAAAGGAAGCGAAGAAAATATGAGTCTGATAGCCACTCCCAACTCTCCAACGACCGCACATTCTGGAAAACGTTTGCCAAAACTAGATAACGATTCGATGAATAGGGACGAACCTGCTGAAATAGCAAATGATATTGTACTTCAGTCACCAGCTACTAATGATAACGCTGGAAACGTCATTAAGTCAGATCCGTATTTCCAAACATCTCATATAATCCCAATTAAGGCATCTGTCAATTGGTCTGATGATGATGAAGATGAATCGCCTACAAAAATGGAACAAGACAGTATTGGAGACATTGAGACGCCGGATCATTCAATTGGTAAAAATAATGCACATTTTATTAAGACAACCCAGAATGATGTGGCGTATGAATCTCTTTTGAATGAAAATAACATATTAAAACAAGAACTACATATATTAAAGATGAAACAGAATGATACAACAGCCTCGAATTACCTATCTATTTCTAGTTCTGAAATGGGTAAGATGGAACGATATATTGATAATGATTTGGGATATATTCCAGTTCATCTTGCTGAGAAATTCCATGATACAATTGATTACTTCTATAAGACTATAAGTGAGCCACAACGTACGTTGATGTCTACCAAAAATAATGATGAATCATCTCCAGATACGACGTTGTTCAAGATAATTTTTCAAATATCTAAAATTTCTTCCCAAATTATCACACTAGTTGATATCCCAATATTTAAACAGGAAATTATTCTTCTCAAGGCTGCAATCTCTCAAGCAATTACTACAACTCGTTATTATTCCATGTATGGTAATCTTTTACCTAAATTGACAGTCCATGCTGCGATTTCAGATATTTCCTTTTCATTCTGTAACTTAATCAAGATGACAAAGCTTAAAACAGACAGAGATCAGTTTCAAAGTCCAATGCTATCCGGGGTCAATGACACACCCGTTTCTACTTACAGATTTACTAAAGATTTACTAATTCACAATACCAATGAAGCTGATAAAGTCCCAGTTGAGGCAAAGCCATTGAAATTGGCGAGGAATTTGAAAAATCACAAGGCAGAGTATCTAGAAACGCCATCAAAATTAAAAATTCCTGTCAGAAATGAGAGTAGGAGGAGATCAAAAAGATCATCTTTCAGAAAATCTAAACAGCTCAATAAAGAAATAGCAACACCACATAGGAATCCTAGTAGGCCAACTTCTAAAACTACAAACGCTCTTCGTGAATCTAGTCAGGATAGTTTTGATTTTAATAAGACCCCAACAATATTACAAAATAATTACAACGGTAACAAGTCTCCAATTAATCATACCGTTTCGAGGAACACGTCTATTTCTTCGTCTCTAAATTATGGAGAACCAAAATCAACGTCGACATCAATTGATTCTAGAAAAACTTCGAAATCTTCGTTAAAAAAGTGGAATAATAACAACAAGAAGGGGAAGAATAACCATGAAAAGAACAATAACAATACTAGTAAACCGGTAGCAAATTCGCCAACCCCAACTAAGACCTCCAAAAAATCAGCTAAACGATTTGCGGATAAAATTAAAAACTTCGGTAATAATAATAGTCTTGGTCTACGGATGATGCCAAGTGAAAACCCAACTAAAGTAAAGTAGTTAAGGATGGTTGATAAATCAACAAATAAATTGGAATAACATAAGAAGCTGTCATTTTATGTAGTCATTATCTTCAGAAATATATATAAATATATATAATGGACTTTACTATTTATAAATAATCTACTACATTACGAGTCTCAAGTCCTCTTTTCACAAGTATAACCGTGGTATCATTATTTAAAAAAATATTACATTAAAATTTGTATGAAATTCTTTCTTTTGCTTTTGATTATATTTACAGTATAAAAATAAAGAATTATTTATTAGTACAGACCCAGGGAGTATTCTGTTTCCTATATCTTGTGTGTTATTAATTGTTTTGTTTAGTTTTTCTTGTGTTGATTATTAAATATGTGCTTGTGAATGTATGAGGATTCCCATTAATTAGTTGTAAATTATTGGGATAAGTTTTTTTTTTTTCTTTTTTTTCATTAATAGTAATAATAGTTGTTATCTTTATCTTTTTTACTTTTTTGTTTTACGATTGACAAAAAGAAAATTATTCTGTTGCAATATTTATAAGTGATAATTCATTATTTTTATTTAATAAAAAATCATCAACATATTGAGTTGCTATTTGTGTCCCATTTGTTGTTAATATAGCACCAATTAAAGAATTTAATACTGTATGAATTACACGATCTTCACCATTAATTTTTGCATTCCCTGATGGATCTCTCATTTTCCAAAAAATTATGTCATCAATTCCTGCAATTTTAATTAATTTTGTAATATTTTTTTTAGAATTTAATGATTTATTTGTTATATTACCTAAATTTGTAAAATTCATACCATTAATTAAGTTTGTACTATTACCATTTTTTAATGAATGTATTGAAGTACGTAATTTTAAAAATTGGGCACCTAATAAATATAATTTTTCATTATATGGTACTTTACCATGAGCGAAAGATTTATGTGTTAAACATTGTAAAATAATTTCATCGGATAATTTAATATTAAATTTATCAAATTGTAAAATTGAACGTACTTTATCTTGACAAATATTTTTATTTAATGAATTATATTCTAAACCATTTGGATTTTTCATATATGATGATGGATCTCTTCTAATACCACAAATACGTGAACCATTATTTAAAAACGTTATATTTCTAATAGATATAGTTTTAAAACTTAAAGAAGTTTGCTTAATAATAGAACGAGGAAACATTTATATCGAGATAAAGAGATGAGAAAAAAAAGGGGGGGAGGGATTAAATAAGTGTTTGAAATATAATTTATGACAGATACTGTTATTAACAGGAATGAGAAATAAAACGATGAAGTATCTTTCTAGAATGGGTATATCCCTAAATATATACAGGAGTTATTCGTTAGTAGATAATAATTGTACTCGATATTTCGATCCACTTAAAATTGTGAAATCTTTTAGATGTAGATGTGTATATATCTGTCTTTTATCTGTATTTGTTTTATAAGGATATCAAGCTATGTATTTAACTTTTTAAAAATTATTAAATCACTTTGTACTACTTTTTTTTTCGATTAATTGATTGATTGTTTCTTTCTTCTTCTCTTTTGGTGGAAAACTATTCGCTTCGATTTAGTATGCGAGTATATGTTGTCTCGCTCTCTCTCACTGTTGTAATCCGGGCCAAAAAAAAAATATTCAATACAATTAATTCTCTCCGTTTCAACTTGTTTCACCGCTAAAAGACGACAGAAAGCAATAAAATTATGGAGGTTAACAGGGAGGGTAACTCACGGACGTTTAAAATTAACAAATTCAATTTTTTAATTTTATTTGGGTCTTTTGAAGAAAACGAAAAAGTGTCGCACCGTCAACATTTTTAAATACTCTGCGTATGGGGGGTTAATACTGAGAATTGCGCGAGTTTATTAATGAGTGGAATGTAATAAAATTGATAATATATATAAGAAGAGTATTTTTACTAATTAAGTATTCCGCCGTTCGCATAATAATTTGAGACTCCGACTTTTTTTTTTGATTGTTTTGGTTTTAAGTGGATGATTAGATTTTGACACACAAAGAGATTAGGAAGAGCGAGATAAGAACTGAAACCATTAAATTATAGTATAAGTATATATTGAAGAAATAGGAATAAGTTTCAAATGTATATGAACTTAGTTATCTTATTGCGAATAGTTTAGAATGTACTAATAATAATGCTATTCTTTTAATATATATATACTTGTATCATGCATACTGTTTAACGTGAATAGCGGTCATTCTCTCCATCTAACTAATATTACTTATATTTGAAATTTAGGGGTTACGTATATATTATTTCTCATTTTCCCTTTCTGTGCCAACAACAACAACAGCAAAAAAAACGAATGGCACAGTAATTTTGTATATTATGATTATAGATGTAAATGGGAGAGAAAATACGTTTAAACTATTTTATTTTTATTTTGTTAGTCTGTTTTTTGTTCTTGGAGGGGGGAGGATAGGGTTTATAGTGTAAATTTTAATATTTGTGTGTGTGCGTGTGCGTGCATGTGCACTTAAATGATTTCATCTTAGTGGTTCATCTCTTAAACTTAATTTTTATTTACATATGTAGATTGCTCTTGATTTGTATTTGCAGGGTTTTCTTGATTTGGTTCCATTCTATATCAGTTATTGTGTTGATTTTATTATTTTGAAATGCATACCTATATCTATATAATTAGACTTGTTGGTTTCTTTTAGTTTTCATTGGAGTAATTTGTTTAAAACTCATAGAGAGACACTTTTAAAAAAAAATAATTGTACATCAGCATAAGTCACAAAGATTTGAAGCACACACACACACACACACACATACAAGTAAATAGACGAAAAATTATTTTTAAAATGAACCATATTACAACTAACGATTTAATGAATGAACAAGAGAACACAAATAATTCTTTGATGAATTTTGATAATCCATCTAGTAATAATAAATTCTTACATATTGAGAGAAATTATGATCTATGTGGTGAAGATGATGATAATCATGAAAATTCCTCTACACATTGTGAAAGTAATTCATCTGGTATTATATCATTTTCTTCTTCTCCATCATCATCCCCAATTTCTTTTAAGGATTCTTCTGGAGAAAATACAACTGAGGAAGATAATAATGTTGATATTGAAGAAGAAAGTGATGTATTATCCGAAACAGAATCACAAAAAGAAATGAGTCCCTTTTTAGTTTGTAAAATTAAAAAAGATATTTTACCAACAACAAATCTAACGAAAGAAAATAAAATTAAACCATATTATAATAATTCAAAATTAGAATCTAATGAACCAAATTTAATAAGACAACCAGAAATAACATTACCAATGAAAAACTTAAATGTATCTAATGCATTATCATCTTCATCATATTTAGAGATTCCTTCAATATCTAATGATAAAAAAATTTCTGAAACAAATTTAAATAATTTAGATTCAGATGATCTTAATGAATCTACAGAGTTTCAAAAAGACTATAGTCGTTGGGTTGAAACTAAAAACAGAACGGAAAACTCAAATCCTTCTTTAAAGGAAGGAATGGGAAATGATTATCAAATTCCGTCAAAGAGAGGAAACAATACTAGTGCATATGATTTTTTTAAATTCTTTGATGATATGATTTTAAATTTTCTAATAATTTTAACAATAATCCTTGGTATTCGTTTTTATAAATTGATAATTGGATACATTTTACCAATTTCAAAAAAATCTCCGTTTTATTATGATAATATTAGGTTTTTAGTTGGCGATAAGTATCCAACAGATAATTTACCGCCAACTGGGAAATTTATTGTAGATTTTGACAAAAAAGTGGCTATACCATATAATGGTAATTTAATTGAGTATAATTTTGATTTGTTGAAAGCAGGAACAATTAATTTATTTAGTAAATCATGTAAGACTTTCGAAGAAAATTATAATAATGGTTATGATAAAGCTTTAGAATTATCAGGAGAAATTATGAATAAATATAATTATGAACATGATTTTATTACTAAACTTATTTCTCATAATGAAGAAGATATCTCAAAGAGAGTTATAACATTAATTCAACATATTTTTAATTGAATAATTTTTATTTCTTCTTATTGATGTGTTTCTTTCCTTTTTTTGCCCTAATTGTTAGTCATGTTAGCTTTGCATTTCATTTATTATTATAAATATTAATAATAAGAATAACTTATAAAAATTTTACTAATTACTACTACGAATTTTCAAATTTTTGCTTAATTTTCCACATCTTTCTATTTGTTTATTATTTTTTTTCTTGGAACCTTAATAGAGAATTACTATTCTATTAATTAATTTTTTTTTACTTAATTATGTGATGTTCTTATTTTTTAGTTCCAAAAATTTTTTTGTTATTTCTTTTCTCCTTTTTTTCTGGTATTTGTATAGTTTTGTATGTATGTATATATACTTCTATATGAATATAGTATGTATTTATAATTAATAAATATTTTTGACGTAATTCTTAACAACAATTGTAATAGCTATTTAAAGAAAATAAATATGCACTGATAATTTTCAACTATTTAAATGACATATATGTAATGTATGCAAATCAGGTACAATATTTGAAATCTCAATTACATAGTGCGTCATCATCGTCAATTACATAAAATTTCGAGATGATTAATATTAATCGATTATGTTATACCTGCAGAATATTCTTAGCAGTAAAAAAAAGTCATGGTAACAAAATTAATTAATGATACTAAAAATTTCATTCATATAGTATTGTCATTAAATGTAGTATTCCACTGTTTATAATTAAACCATTATTATTGATCAATTTGTCAATATATGATATACTTATTTTTCATCAATATATATATACGTTTATTTGTTTCCCTGTTGTTTAGTACGGTCAATTTACTGAAAAAATAAGGTAGTACGTGTTTTGCTATTATTATTGTCTTTTCACTTTCATCTTTTTTTGCTCTTTTAGTTACAATGCATAATACGCGTAGTAGTTGTGCATGGCGCGCACTATGTACGAGGGCATGCATACATATATATCGCAATACAAAAAAATAATAACGAGAGGGATATCGTTAAATGGGACGGGGGGAGAGGCCATTGACAGGGAAAGAAATAGAAAAAAAAAAAAGGAAGCAGTGGGAAAAATATTGAAACAGGAACCCATAGTAGTAATTAGAAATCGAAAATAAATTATATTGGGAAAACATTATTTATTATTCTGTAATTAGAGGGCAAGTATTTGAATTCACAACTAAACTATTAGAATTTTTAATACTATTTTTTTGTTTTGGATTAAATATATAGAATTAAGCATACACAACGTTTATTGTTGGTGTTTTAAAAGATTTTCAAAGGACAATCAAAATTTTATTTAACAGAGGTAGTTAATTGGTCTCCATTTGATCTAATATTTATTTTTCAATTCTAGTTTTAATTTTTAATATACACATACCTGTGTTAAGAGTTGTTTTTTATTTTTAAGTTTTTTTGGTGTTTTTCATTGTTATTTAAACGGAGGTATCGAAAACCTGACAAAACTATACCTTTATTTATTTATTTATTTATTTGATACATACAAAAGATAATATTTACAGTATCGAGTATACCTATATTTCGAACCTTTATCCTCTATCATAACCTATTATACAGTTTTTTTGTCGCTGAAGACCTTAAACTGGTAGGGGACAGTTAAAAAGAGACATAGAAGAAACAAAACATATTTTTCTTTTTTTTTTAATCATCATCATAATGTCAAATCCTGAGCCAACGATATCAATGTCAACTAAGAAAAATGAAAGTACACCATCAAATAAGTCTGCTAGTACAGAAAATAATAATGATGATAGTACTAGTGCAATCACACCTACACAAGTTCGTCCAATCGACATAGTAGTTGCAGTATATCAGTATAAAACTTCAAATAGTGGTGCATCTAGTAATATTAAATTGGCATTTCAACCTGGGGAAACGATATATGTTTTAAATAAGACGGGTTCTGGATGGTGGGATGGTTTTATTGTAGATGAATCAAATAATGGCAAAGTTGCAAGAGGCTGGTTTCCTCAAACATATGTTCGTCCATTGAATGATTTATTTGGTCATTCTAAAAAATCTACATCTACTTCAACAAATAATTCAAGACGTGCAAGTTATGCTAATGGAGATAATTTATCAGTGAGTAATTCTAATACGAATGGAAATAATAATAATAATAATAATAATAATGGGATGTTGGGATTACCATCTCCATCAAATAAGATACGGAGTAAAAGTAGGAAGAATAGCTTAAATTTCTCATTTCCAAATAAGACAGTACCGTCAGTAATGAACAATAGTCAGTCCCCACAGAACAACACAGTTAGTGATATTGGACAAGTAGATCCTTTACAACCTAGTAATAATACGAATCGTACAGTATTCCCACCTTCAAGGAAACAATCAAGAGTTGGAATGAGAAATAGTAGTTCAAGCTCAGCAAATAAGATTCCATCTGAAGATGTAACTGTATTATCTTTAGAAGAAGTGGAAATGTTAATTAATAGTCTCCATAGACCTACAATCTCCACTTGGAGTCCCGTACCGTTACAATCTACTACTGGTACATCAGATAAATTAATATATTATAATAAGGAATTAAACATATATTGTTCGGAATTACCTATGGTATCAATGACAAATACAGATTCAAGTATAGCATTAAAATCATCAAACATGGATTCTGCAACAAGTTTTGGTTTCCCTACGGATGATCATCTTATAAATTTAAGTGCTAGACGAATATCAACAAATCCTCAAAGCCAAACAGTAAATACACAAAATGATAAGAGTAAAACTTCTTCAATGACTGGTTCATTGACAAGTAGTACCACCGGGGGATTCAGAGAAAATTCAAGAAAGAAATCGTCATTGTCTGCGGATAATGATGATAGCTTGAGTCAACCATCTAAATCTAATACAGATTTAAAACAAGCACAAAATGAACCGTTATATCGTCAAGCTATTTTAGCGAAAAATGACTTATTTTATCATCATTCAAAGGATATTAAAACTTGGTTAGAATTAGAAGATTTAACATTGCATTTCACTAAAATGGCTCATAAGATGTTTTTGAAGATAGATAGATTCAATTTTTTCAAATTTTTTAATATGATGTCAAATTTGGCAATTTTTACTCAGATATCTTGTAGGTTGATTCAACAAGAAATTAAATTAAAGATGTGCAATAGGGATGTGAAAAGGATTCTAAAATCACTGATTTCGTCTCTGTCTAAAATTAATATTAATTCAATGATATATTTTGACTCGTCATCACGTTTACAAATTCATAGCACTCCTGTACCTAGTGATTCTAATGCATTAATGGCATCAAAAGCTCCTCTTGGCAAATATTCATCGGCTGGTAATGTTAATGATGAGTCGTATTTAATTGATCGCTCTTTAGATGATAAAACAAAGCAAAAATCTGTATCTACGGATACTCCAATAACTTCCAATAGGAATACAAGTACTAGTACTACCGAGACGTTGATTCCATCCAAGCTTAATTCGAATGCTAAGGATTTATATGATATTTCACAAGAAAGAATTTCCCGTGCAGAATTGAGAAATATATCGACATCATCTAATAGAGATGAATATATGAGCAATGGGAGAGTAAGTTACGATTCAAATATAAATTCAGGAAATGATATTACTAATAAGGGTGCTGGAAACAACAACATCAAAACCAATATCTTCCGTTATGCCGATAATGTAGATCATGATTCAAGTGTATCATTACGTATCATATTTGAGAATATAGACCAAGAATTTTTGAGGTTTATGAAGAATATACATTTGCTACATCATCTATTACAGAACTCCGTGTTAACAAATGAATCACATATATTGCCTCAATTTTTACCCAGATTTTTTAAGGGTTCATTTAACGGTGGTTCATGGACTAATCCATTTGCTTCATTCATTTATCCTTCAGAAAGTAGTGGCTCTTCGATTGTAAACTCTCCATTGGGAGGGTCATCGGCTGTCTCTTCTTCGTTGTCTATGTTCAATAAAGAAGCTACTGGCTCTGTACCATCAACAATAACGCCTAAGACTGGATTCCCTAGTAACGATGTAGCCAGATTTGATAATGAAAGTCAAAAGCCTTCGATATCGGGATCATTACCTGTAGGAACACCAAAGATGCCACCAAAGATGGCCACAGCTATTGCACTTGCATCTGGTTTACCCATCTCAGAAACTAAGTTGAATTCTGGTCATACATCTACCTCAAACTCTATGACAGATATTACTTCGTCTCTGACTTTAAGTGCCAGTAAAAAGTTGTCCAACGCAGGTAAGAATTTATCGAAGGCCAAAATATCGAAAAGAAAAATTAAATATCCATTAAACACAGAAACATATACTGCGATGAAAAAAATTAGTACTAGCATTAACGATAAATTGAGTTTGAATTTCAAATCAGATGCTGAGAATTTTATTAATCAACCCAAGACAAAAAGTCGTAATCTTGAGATTAACTCAAGGACCTATGAACAACTAAATGAAAATACCCAACTAATTGACATGTTAGAAAATTTAGATTTAACAATTTTCATCAATTTGAAGAGATTAATAAAATGTCCACCAAAGGTACTTGATGTTGAAAGTGAAGAATTTTTAAGGCATGCAATGTCATCAATCTCAACAATTATTACAGAATTCTATGATGTGAAGCAAGCGTTCCACGATGTATTGATTAGATTAATTATTGCTACTCAACAGACTACTCTAGATGATCCATATATATTTTCATCCATGAAGTCCAATTTTAAGATTGATTTTAATGAACCAAAGTTATTAGAAAGGATCACATTAAACAAGAACATGAAAAAGATCGAAAAGCAATCCATGCGTTTGTATAAACACTTAGTGGAGCAGGATGTTGAATTTAATAATATCGAATTTTTAAATACATCAGAAGAATTTGTAGATGCCTGTGAAGCTTATATTGATTGTATGGAGGCAGCCTGTCTGATTGTTGAACAATTAATTGAAGAAAGAGAAAATTTGTTAAATTATGCAGCAAGAATGATGAAAAATAATTTGACTACTGAATTATTAAAAGGTGAACAAGAGAAATGGTTTGAATATACATCTGAATTTAATTCAGATGATGAAGATGAAGATGATTTTTACACTCGTGGTAAGTCAGATAATGACGAAAGTATGATGGATACAAGTTCTGATGATGCCGACGCCTATGCTGGTAGAAAAAATAGAAATATTATATCATCCATGGGTGGTTTAGAAAGCCAGGATGTGCCTTGGTTTTTGCAATCAGATTATACTCATTACTTGGTGTATGATTCTAAGGGCAAGGTGAGAGGTGGAACTAAAGAAGCTTTAATTGAGCATCTAACTAGTCATGAATTAATTGATCCCTCATTTAATGTTGCTTTGTTGATTACTTTTAGAAGTATATTTACTACGAAAGAATTTTTCTATGCATTAATATACAGGTATAATTTGTATCCACCTGAAGGTTTAGGTTTTGATGAATATAACATCTGGATTGAAAAGAAATTGAATCCAATAAAATGTCGTGTTATCAATATTATGAAAATTTTCTTACAGCAATATTGGAGTCCCCATTATTATGAAGATGGTTTATCATCAGTAGAAAATTTTGTTAATTATGCCATTAGTGAGAATATCCCTGGTTCTGATGATCTTTTACAAAAAGTACATGAAGCTCTAGTAAATTTGAATAAGATTGAAGATTCTTCTGATAAACAGAGTAGGAGCAATATTAATCAAATTTTGACTACACCAAAGGGTTCAAATATTAATGTTGGTAATAAATTAAGTTTATCACAAAGTAGGACCGCATTATTTAGAATGAAAAAGTTAAAATTATTAGATGTTGATCCATATAGTTATGCTACCCAATTAACTATCCTTGAACATGATTTATATTCTAGAATTACATTATTTGAATGTTTAGACAGAGTTTGGGGTAACAAATATTGTGATATGGGAGGATCAAGAAATATTACTAAATTTATTACAAATGCTAATACTTTAACAAATTTTGTTTCATCTACAATTGTAAAACATTCAGATGTTAAAAAACGTTGTAAATATATTCAATTTTTCATTCATGTTGCACAACATTGTAAAGAATTGAATAATTTTTCATCTATGACTGCTATTGTCTCTGCATTATATTCTTCCCCAATTTATAGATTAAAAAAGACATGGGAAGTAATATTAGTTGAAGATAGAGAAATTTTGAAGAAATTAAATAGTTTAATGGATTCAAAGAAAAATTTTATTAAATATAGAGGTTTATTGAGATCTGTTAAAGATGTTGCATGTGTTCCATTTTTTGGTGTTTATTTATCTGATTTAACTTTTACAAATGTTGGTAATGCAGATTTTATTCATGGTAGTAAAGATATTATTAATTTTAGTAAAAGAAATAAAATTGTGGATATAATTGAAGAAATTTTAAGTTATAAAAAAGTTCATTATAAATTAAAACGGATGGATGATATTCAAACAATGATTGAAACATCAATTGAATCTGTACCACATATTGAAGAACAATATAGGTTATCGTTACAAATGGAACCAAGATCTAGTAGTAATAGTAGTAATAGTCATAACCATAATAAGAATCCATTAGATGTAGATACAGCTATAAAATGAAAAGAAAGAAACAGTCACAACAACCTTCTTACACATATTTTTTGTTTTGCTTCAAATTATAAAATAAGTTGATATATACCGATATCTAATTAACAAAATAATACATATATTTCGCATTATTAATTTATTAAAGCTTATGAGTATTTCTAACAAGTAACAAATGTTATATAAAATAAATTAAAAGAAATTCGTTCTTCCATTTTCGAGATACAAAGGGCCCTGTTAAATTACGTCTTAGAAACAATTTATTCAGTTTTTATTATGTCAAAAGTTTATACGTATATACTTATCTCTAATCCCAAATGACGTCGTTTCGGATTAATGGAGAAGAAGCCAAAGATTTTTTTTTGTAATTCAATTATTTAATTTGTAAAAAAATTATTATGTTATCAATTAAGGGGAAAGGAATGAGTGGCTGTAGCCTCTTGGAATATTATAGAGCGTGAATGTGAAAGATCAGGTAAATCTGAAGTGGGGCTTTGAAGCCCCTATTTTTTCTGTGTGTATTTTTAATAAGGGTTCGATTCAAAATTCGGAATTGTGGGGAAGTTTGGTTTTAATTGATGCTATTATTAATGGATTTCAATATATTTGTGTTTTTGTGTCTCATTCATCGCTAATTAATTAAAATATACGTTATTAACTAGAGCGCAGGAAGAATTAACAGTTCAAAAAAAGAAAGATACAGCGTAAAATTAATGCGAAATACCGAAGCCAAGAAACAATAAAGTTGGTTTGTAGGAGAGAAAAGTTTATTAACAAAATATACGCAATATGTCGTGGAAAACTACATTCAACAATTGAAATTTGCCAAAGTAAATTGAAAACGTGTGCCCATTATCCCATATCGCCGGTAACGCTTTAATTTGAGGGGGGCAGTTCCGTTTGAGCGGGAGCGCTGATTGTACTGAGTATTGTCTTGAATATTATTTTTTTTTGTTCTCAAAGCGAAAATTGAACTAAACTGTGCCAACAAAGATGTCAGTGCCTCAAAAATATCTTCCGCTATTTCTTTAATACTAACATGTCAATACAAATTAAATTTCTCCTATATACTTATTGCCTTTGCCTCATTTTTACTATGGGGGAGGTATAAGACGTAATATAATTTACTAGGAAAATAGATCATATATTACGGTCTAAATTATTTGATTAGTCACCATGTATATACTGATAAGAAAATTTCAGTTATTTTGTGTGGCATTGCCACACTCTTCTTATTATAGTTCTAGTTGTACGTAGCGGTGTCTCTCTTACTTCATATTTTAATCTGTCTGTTGCTCCGTAATAACGAGAATAAAAGTACTGAAATTTCAAATATTAGTTATGTCTCCTTTTTTTTAAGTATACGTTGATTATATAATAAATTATGACTAAAAAAATATACAGATAATAATAAATAAATATCTGGGTTAAAGGAAAAAAATTGATAAATATAGTATTTTCTTATAAATTATAACTAACTTCAAATTAAAAAGGGAAAGATTAGAATAATTATTATTATTATTATTATTATTAGTATTATTATTTTATTATAAAAAGGATAAAATTATTTCATTTATTTAATTAAGATCCCATTTATTTTTTTTTCCAGATATACATCTATACTCATAATATTATTATAACATAAAATAAAACAACAAATAATTAAGTGCGAAACTTTTTTTTTAAAAAAACATATAATTAAGCTTCAAATACAAAACAAAATTTTAAAAATGTTAATGAAAAATTTATTAATTCAAACTTCCAAGATTTCTTCAAGACGATCTTTCGTTTATTCAACAAGATCATACAGTTCTATTCATATTAATACAATGAATATTATGTTAGGTAGTAAAAGATCTTCAACATTAACTCAAGAAATGAATGGTCCAAATACTATTAAGACAAGTTCAACATCTTCTACAGGTATAAAACCTGGTAAAAAAAATGAAACAAAACCATATCCTGTTGTATCATCGGATAATGAAGATATTGAAACTGTTGCTGGTCACACACGTGTATAATAAATACACATTATACGTCATTGTATTCAATTCTATCCATCAAATTTTATAAATTAAGTCATAAAGTTCCATATTATATCAAACCTTTTTTTTGGGGTTTTCCTTTTTTTGCAAATTTGTTGTTCGTATCAATAAAAAAAATGTGAAAAGATATCAAGACTCAAAGAAATGGAAATGAGTAAAAATCACATTTATATATATATATATATATATCTATGTACCTTTAAATATATATTTACACAAAAAATAAAATAAATTCAATTCAAGTCAAGCCAAGCATCAACTTCGAAAAAGTGAAAGAGATCTGTCGTTTATATCGCATATAAAAAATAAAAAGTTTAAATGACATATATGATATTTTTTTCAGTTTAATGTTGTCCAGTAATATTTTATTTTAATAAGGTAGTAGATATGACATCAACCATATCAAATTTACTTAATTAAAAAACTACCATTTATTTTTGTGTTGAATAAGAAATCCGATTAAAATATAAACAAATTTAAAAAGGGAACTATATAGCCACAGGTTGAGGTACTCTTGTAAATTGTTCTTAATATATTGTAACAATTTTAATTGATCATCTACAGGGTGTTTTTGTTTTCATTTCATTGTTTACATTACCGATGAATCCTCCGAGAATATATCAAACATTTACATCACATTAAAAACCGTTATTTATGTGACAAAATAAACACCGATAGTTTTTATGATTTTCTTTAAAAAAAAAATACCCTACGTAAGGACTAATTTAATGACTATCTATTTTATTTTGTACTCATCTAACAGACTCCATTTTTTTTCAATACCTACTTTATAAGATTCATTAAAAAAATGTGGGGTTTAAATTCTTAATAAAAGGTAATGAGAAGAAAGGAGAGGGGTACCCTCTCCTTATGATCTTTGAATATGATGGAAACCCGAATCTCGGCGTTGTCACATGGATAAATATCATATACTCTTTTTATCCGTGATATCGGGTAAGTATTCTCTTCTGCATTTGAGATTACTCTGCGAAAGAGAGAACCAAAAATCAAAACATAATTATCATCACGCACGCCCGCGATAGTACGATCTTTTAGTTGAAGGAAGAATTAGAGCGTTGTTTGTGTTTACCAATCCCGACCCGAAAAACTAACAATATTTCTGGAAGATGATTGGCTGTCTAGGAGATATACGTGTAGAGACATCTTTAATGGTTGTTATTTTTTTTCACCAATCAGACGTTTAAAATAATTTTGTATGGAATTTTCTTAGGCCCTTTCACAAAAAAAAATTTCTTTCACATATTAATACTTTGTGATTTTTGAATCATGCATTTTTTTTTTCATACGGCCATTATACTGTTAAATTCCCCTTAAAATTTCAATTAACCATATATTATATTGGTATCAATCAAAACAATCAATTACTATTATTATTTACCCTTAATAACGAGTATTTTTTTATTAAAAAAATATTTTCCTGCCAATCGAATCGAATTAAATTAATAATAATAATAATAATAATACTAAATTAGTTGTTGTGTTCTCTCCTCTTGAATTAAGAAGAAGAAAAGATTATTTTCTCTTACCTTTCTCTTAGTATTATTATTATAGTTCTTTACAGGTTTTGTAACCCACAAAGGTTTAATATAACAAGTTTAATGCACTAAGTCTATATACACACATGTTAAAACTCATCATCGGATTTCAATCATCACCACTTCTTTTTTTTTTTTAATTTTAAATATATAAGTTATTACAATTAATATATATATATCATGAATTAATATTTTCTTGTTATAACTCCCCTTATTGTTAAACTCTCTTTTTTTTTGTTGATTTCTTATTTATTTATTTTTGTTTTAAACATTTGTTAATTAATAAAAGACTCTAAAGACAAATAAAACTATTATAACCTATAATTTAATAAGGTATCCAATCAAGTTATCTTCCTTTTAAATTGTACTTTATATATCGTTTTAATTATTTTGAAAGTTAAATACAAAAGTCACTTTTTTATTATGTTGTCTGCACGTTCAAGTCTAAGGGCTCCATTAAAGCGTACCTTAGCAACTGCTACTAATATTGGTAGAGATTCAAAAGTTAATCAAAATTTATTAGAATCTCATTCCTTTATTAATTATAAAGAAAATTTAAAAAATGTCGATATTGTTAGAAAAAGATTAGGTAGACCTTTAACTTACGCTGAAAAGATTCTTTATGGTCATTTAGATAAACCACATGATCAAGAAATTACTCGTGGTGTTTCCTATTTAAAATTAAGACCAGATAGAGTTGCTTGTCAAGATGCTACAGCTCAAATGGCAATTTTACAATTTATGTCTGCTGGTTTACCAGAAGTTGCTAAACCTGTTACAGTTCATTGTGATCATTTAATTCAAGCTCAAATTGGTGGTGAAAAAGATTTAGCAAGAGCTATTGACTTAAATAAAGAAGTTTATGATTTCTTAGCTACTGCAACTGCTAAATATAATATGGGTTTCTGGAAACCAGGTTCTGGTATTATTCATCAAATTGTTCTTGAAAATTATGCATTCCCAGGTGCTTTAATTATTGGTACAGATTCTCATACTCCAAATGCTGGTGGTTTAGGTCAATTAGCTATTGGTGTTGGTGGGGCAGATGCAGTTGATGTTATGTCTGATTTACCATGGGAATTAAAAGCTCCAAAGATTCTTGGTGTTAAATTAACTGGTAGAATGAATGGTTGGACTTCTCCAAAGGATATTATTTTAAAATTAGCTGGTATTACAACTGTTAAAGGTGGTACTGGTAAGATTGTAGAATATTTCGGTGAAGGTGTTGATACTTTCTCAGCTACTGGTATGGGTACAATTTGTAACATGGGTGCTGAAATTGGTGCCACTACATCTGTTTTCCCATTCAATAAATCTATGGTTGAATATTTAGATGCAACTGGTCGTGATAAGATTGCAGAATTTGCGAAGGTTTATCAAGGTGATTTATTATCTGCCGATAAAGATTGTGAATATGATGAAGTCATTGAACTTGACTTAAATACTTTAGAACCTTATGTTAATGGTCCATTCACTCCAGATTTGGCTACTCCAATCTCTAAGATGAAAGAAGTAGCAGTTAAGAATGATTGGCCATTAGAAGTTAAAGTTGGTTTAATTGGTTCTTGTACTAACTCTTCTTATGAAGATATGTCTCGTGCTGCCTCTATCGTTAAAGATGCTGCTACTCATGGTTTGAAGGCTAAATCTATTTTCACCGTTACTCCAGGTTCCGAACAAATTAGAGCCACTATCGAACGTGACGGTCAATTAGAAACCTTCAAGGAATTCGGTGGTATTGTTTTAGCTAATGCTTGTGGTCCATGTATTGGTCAATGGGATCGTAGAGATATTAAGAAGGGTGATAAGAACACTATTGTCTCCTCTTATAACAGAAATTTCACTTCTAGAAATGATGGTAACCCACAAACTCATGCTTTCGTTGCTTCACCAGAATTAGTTACCGCTTTTGCCATTGCTGGTGATCTAAGATTCAACCCATTAACTGATACTCTAAAGGGTGCTGATGGTAAAGAATTCAAATTGAAACCACCATTCGGTGATGGTTTACCAACTAGAGGTTACGATAAAGGTAACAATACTTACCAAGCTCCACCTGCTAACAGAGATTCCGTTGATGTTAAGATTGCTCCAAGCTCTGATCGTCTACAAAAATTGGCTCCATTCAAGCCATGGGATGGTAAGGATGCTTTAGACATGCCAATCTTAATTAAGTCCCTAGGTAAGACCACCACTGATCATATCTCTATGGCTGGTCCATGGTTGAAGTACAGAGGTCATTTGGAAAACATTTCCAATAACTATATGATTGGTGCTATCAATGCTGAAAACAAAAAGGCTAACAGTATTAGAAACGTTTACACTGGTGAATATAAGGGTGTTCCAGATACTGCTAGAGATTACAGAGATCAAGGTGTTAAGTGGGTTGTTATCGGTGACGAAAATTTCGGTGAAGGTTCCTCTCGTGAACACGCGGCTCTAGAACCAAGATTCTTAGGTGGTTTTGCTATTATTACTAGATCCTTTGCAAGAATTCATGAAACTAACTTGAAGAAACAAGGTCTATTACCATTGAACTTCAAGAACCCAGCTGACTATGAGAAGATTAACCCAACTGATAAGATTGATATCGTTGGTCTAAAGGACTTCGCTCCAGCTAAGAACTTAACTATGATTGTTCACCCAGAAAATGGTGCTTCTTGGGATTGTGAATTAACTCACACTTTCAACAAGGAACAAATTGAATGGTTCAAGTACGGTTCTGCTTTGAACAAGATTAAGTCAGGTGGTAAATAATTGATGTTTGTGGTATGATACTTTAATTTTAACCTAATTCTGTCTTACTTCAATTATTTATTTTTTTTCTGTTCATGTTTTATATCTTATTTATTTATTGGCATATATTTTTCTGTATATGTTTATTTATTAACACATATGTAAAAAAAAGAAAATGTAAAAATTTTTTAAATTAATATATTCTTGTCTATTTTGTATATTTAATTGTCTAAGTTATATGAAATTGATACGGTCTGAAAATGACGTAAGTGGTTAAAAATGCTAGGAATGCCAATATAAATTTCAATTTCACTTGATAAATTATTACAAAATGTGAATATTAATAGGTTAGACATTACTTTTAAAAGTTCACAATATGTTTAGATATGAAATACAACATTCTAATTTCCAGCTATTTTTCATTGTAATATTAATTTCAGCTCTGATTGGTGGTAGAGATAATGTATTTCGGAGATGTATGTTCAATAAAAAAAGAAATCGAATTTGTCACCATAAATAGGGTTTGGCTTCAGTACTTAATTTAAACTTAAAAATTGTGTCTTTCTTAAAGCCTATGATAGTGTAGTAATTAGGTTATTTATGGTGGAATACTTAGTGTGTTACACAGTAAGTTTCTCTTGCACAATGTAATATTATTGGGAATACAACTTGTATAAAAGAGGGGGGGTTGCAAAATATAAAAAATTTATATCTTTACATTACGTATTGTTTGGCCTATATTTGTAGTATCTTTACTTGTATTAAAAAAATAGTAATTGGGGTTACCAGGGAATAATTGTAATGGTAGGTATTTGAATTAAAATATGTATATCTCTATCTCTATATGTTACAACTATTATATAAGAGTTATCTAATCTACATGTCTTCTTTTAAGATCTCATCTTTGTTTATTCACTAATTTTTATTATCGCACTATGCGCTATTCTATTCTGAATCTGTTTTGCCAAAACAATACAATTAATTATTCTCATCCACCGTTGTTTCTTGGTAGTTTTCTTGTGCCACACTACATATTTTCGTATCTTTAACTGAAGCGGACAATATAAGAGGCTGAGAACTTTCATTTGTGGTTATTTAGTTGATTGTGTTAGTGTAGTCTCTAATACTTTTACCAAGAAAGTAATCAGTTGGTAAACTGAATACACAAATTGCTCGGAAGAAACAGGCTCAAAAATTTAATTGGAATTTGTCATTTAGTATCTGTTCAATTGAAATTACACCCTTTCCTTGACAGTATTGTTATATATGGAAAAATATACTATATAGGGCAGTAATGGAGGATTATTTCCAAATTCAACTGCTTACAAACAAAAGATTAATTAATGAAATTTGCCCTTATATAATTGGTCGATCAGTAACAAGAACAGAACATTTACAGGTCACGTGATCATTTTACATTTTAACTTAGTACTTTTTATTGAGCAATTTTTGTAACGAGGTAGGGCTTATGTCCGCGTAAATATTTATTAGTTGAGTGGCAGATTACCCTAAATCGTATTAAGGATATCTACTAACACTTGTTGGTATCTATGTTTGCTCTTATACCAGTTAAGGGATTACAAGGGGCTTATTAAATATATTGCGTGTATAGGAAGACTTGTAGTTCACTGATGGTGATGCTATAATCTTCAACGGCTTAATGTATATTTGAAATAGAATGATCGATTGCGATTATCTTGCTTAAACTTGACTGGTTTCTTTCAACTGAAAGATGAACATTAACATTTGGAGATAGGAGAGTCCCTTTTATAGGAGTGCTCTCTATCCCAGCTGACATGTGTGTGACGTCCATTTGGGTATGTCCCTCGTTGCTCAGGATCGGCATGCTGTGTCCCGAACAACTCATCAACCAGTGTCAGACGAGAGCTCTGATTAGTTGGATCTATACGATGTGTCGAGAGAACTTCGTTCTACGACTCTTTCTGAGTGTGATGCTCATTGGGCTGTCTTTATAGCTAAAGATGCCACTGTCATGGAATAAAGTGTCAGTAATGCCTAATGCGGTTTACTGATCTTATTCACGTGATAGTTCTATTGCAAGATGCTATCAGTAATGCATAAGATGCTAACGAAGGTTAGTTTACACCTTAGTTTTCATTTTTGATCAAGCTAAAGGGTTAACCTTGTTACAAT